GCGCTTGTAATGACTAAAAAATAATTATTATACATTCTACAAAATGGCGAGAGGTCAAATTAAATTTGTCAGCCTGTGATTATCATTAATTGTGCTAATAACGTGTGATGAGTATGAATGAATGCGTCCTTTCAACACCGGATAACGTTGTTTATTGTTATATGACGCAACGTGCGCGCGTGCGTAAACGCAGGTCTGTAGGTCATACATAAATTTTGTTAAGCAAATTTAAATTCATTTATTTGTTTACGGTAGACTTTTTTTAGTAACTAAGGGACGGGACGAACAATGTTGTTCATGATCGGCTGGTCTGGAAATCTTTGGGGGTGGCCTATGTTCAGCAGTGGACGTCTTCCTACTAATATGATGGTAATGAAGTGCAGTATTTCATATACATTCAATTTATGTAATAATCCCTGACAAGTTATATATACTTTTTTTTAGTTTAGTTATATATACATTTAAGTCATGTAATAATTCCTATTAATAATTTTTCTTATTTTGTTATCTATTTTTTTTTTTGAACATCTAGTCGTGCGCCTGGTGGTAAGCGACACGACTGTCCATAACAGTGGCAGTACCACTCAGAGCCTTAAATCACAAATATCTGAGGGGCACTGCCACTGCGCCCAAGACCCTTGAAAAAGCGTGTACCGCCACTGGTACCGCTTGGAATGTTCAGTAGGATTATAATGTAGCCAGGAGAGTAGTAGCCTCCGCAGCCTCCGCAACCTCCACTCATCTTGCTTAGTAAGTTTAAAGTTCAAAATTCAAAAGGGTAAAGAAATAGTGATAATAAATCCAGTTTTATAAATACTATTCCCGTTTTATCAATATGTGTGATCTTTAAAATGTTTATTGCACAAGAGATTTTTGGTAACAGGTAAACGGTTCAAAAAATTTACGAAAGACCTGTTCGCTGCCGCGATCGGGCGGGGAGTGACGATTTAACGAAACAAAATTAGGATGACGAGGGAAAGAAATTAAAGAAAGAACGATTCAAAATTTAAAAACGATTGGCCAGGAAGAAATATCGATAAAAAGGTGTGATGACGATGTATTGAGGTCACATCGTCACACCCTGAGTCAAAGTTGACAAATCCAATGTGCCTGTAATTTCACCAACACCCCTTACCTTTCGAAACCGGAGCGCAGTAATGCTCATACTACTGCTTGGCGGCAGAAATAGGTTAGGTGGAATTCAAGGTGGTACTTCCCTGGACGAGTTCTTTCATAAAGAGCTTAGGCGTCCAGTTACACGAAGCGAAAGTTTTCGCGGCGACCGCCCAGTTAACACGCCTTGATGTACATTAATGACGAATCTGAATTCTATTTACTAGGTAACAACATTTAAATTCCTCTGAATAATACAACCACCCGGTCATCGAGCGGAGTCCGCGTAGACCAAGTTCAAGCCAGACTCGCCCGCGTGCCCGGGACGCTCATTTAAGTTAAACCGTAAAAAGCTAAATAAATAGAGCATATTTTGCATTGACAGTTAGACGCATTAAACAGCACCCTGACGACCTGCCTCAACGACACACTTTTAGACCACGCAATAGATTGCTTCTGTCACGATCTCGGCTACACATACACAGCTTAAGTCCCCACTCGATGTCGGTGAGGATATTCAACGAGCTCCCGCCCATTATTAAAAACGAGGAAAAGTATTCACTGTTTCTAAATAAATTAAAATTACATCTTATTAATAAATACTATTACAATTTAAATGAATACTTTGATGACAAATAAAAATAACAATATTATAATAAATTTGAATAATAAATAAATGTTAATTATATACTATAAAGTTATGCTACTGTTGTAAATTCAAACTTTCAAGTGACATAATTCTACTCATAATATGACGTATTTCTTTATTATTATATGACATTTTTTTTTTAATATTAACTGTTACTAAATTACCCGAGAGATAGGGACCGAGAGAGATAGGGTTTTTCGGAGAGACTACGGGCTCGACGGCGGCGTACGTCTCTGATGGAACCAGACTTGGATATGGACTCGCTGGGGTTTGTGGTTAGCTGCAGAGACGGACATGTTTGTCTGCCCCGGTTGGGCGTGGCCGGGGCGTCGCAGGTCACTGCAACTGGCATCTCCGGAACTAGTCCGGAGAGCCAGTAGTCAGTAGAGGATAAGTTATGTATCCTGCGGTCTCTGTAGCCGATTAGGTTATTGGGAACTGGAGAGACGTCGTTTTTTTTTCGGCGTCGGCAAGTGAGTGCGCCTTTTGAGGAGATTTCTTAGTGAATTCAGAATCGACGGCTTAGCCTTGGTAACCGCTACTTGTGCAATACGCAACGGGAAGTGAGCGTGCCCATAGCTCCGGTACCTATCTGGAAAATAGGGAGGGTACTGTACGTGCACGCGACGCGGCTCACACGAGGCACTAGTCTCTCGAAGAACCGGATGAAGTCAAGTGACAGAGGTCTGTAACCTTGTACACTGGCTGATCTGGGGTTAAGTTAGAAATAGAAAAGAATCTTATGGCATTTCCATTGTTTTTTTTCTTTCGCGGTTAAACCTGCAGACTTGCGGGTAACAAACTCGCTTCCGTTCTAATGTAAATTGAGCCGTATGCTAATAGGACCAATTATAGTCAAATAGTACGAACCTAATGCCACCTCTTTCTCTCTTCCAGGCTAGCGAACATAATGAAAGAGATAGCACTACTCCCAGAGAACCTACTTCGCATGCCATCTGTGGGCCTCGTAAACCAGTGGTACGAACGATCATTCGAAGAGATCATACAGTTTGAGAAGATGGAGCCGGAGCCACCTGTACTTAGCAAGTAAGTGCCTCTCTTTAGCCGAGTTAAGGAAATAATTACTAAACCAATAGTAATCCAGCTGGGAAAATGATCGTCTGACGAATAAACCTATGTCGTTGTCGATTAATTTAAAACGTGTGTCATTTATGGTTTTACCAAACGACTAAGACCATTAGCCGATATTTTTGAAATGTTTTAAATAAATTTTGATTTTTTTTTATAATATCAAATGACGGAACGGACAGGATGTGCGCCTGATGGCGTTACACTATAAGCTACACGACTGTCCATAACACTTGCAGTGCCACTCAGAGCTTTAAATCGCAAAGATCTGAGGGGTACTGCCATTGCGCCCGTCACACTGAGACTTAAGTTGACAAGTCCTATGTGCCTGTAATTTCTCCAGCGCCCTTACCCTTCAAAACCGGAACACAGTAATGCTGACATTACTGCTTGGCGGCAGAAATAGGTAAGGAGGCAGTGCTACCCTGGATGAACTCTTTCACAAGGAGCTTTACTGCTACTACGTCAAAATAAATCAAATGTAGTAGACCCTCGTTGCGTTTACGTAATTGGTTACGTAGTTGGTATTCCCTCGGTCCGCCCGTATCTTTCACAGTGCTTGGTCTGGCGTCGACTCACCCGAAGAACAGAGTCCGATGTAATTATTTAGCGAGAAGAGAATAAATACTTTACGAGAATAATTTAGTTATTCAAACTAAGGCCTACGTAAAAGTGTTTTGAGAATTTACATCGCATTGCTATTACAACATTGTTGTAACTCAAAATAGTTGAAATATAAGGTTCTATCATTTTTGAACGTAAAATTTGATTCTCTACACGTCAATAAAACTGTTTGAGCTTTGCTATAATGGACGAAAGTAGCATAATTAAATATTTAATTACCGATGAAATTTGGTTCTGTTTGTTTTATAATTAGACGTTTTGCTGTTTTTCCATGGAACAGCACGCTATTGTTAGAGATATTATATTTATTACAATAAATACAGAATGTTTTTGGAATATACGGAGACGTACACACAGGTCAGTTGTTGGCGTTGTCTATATTTCAGTGACATATATTTATAAGTGATGTATCACTGATGAGTTACCAGGGAATGTATGACCCTTATTTCGTCTCTATTTCTGTTTATACACTCCATGAATCTGAATGAGCCCTTAGAATGCATTCGCTGAATCACTGATTTCTTTATTTTTCTCATTCCAGGTTTTGCGAACGCCTAGCCCATATAAGAAACCGGCATGCCGACGTAGTGCAAACGATGGCACAAGGTGTATTAGAGTTAAAAGAATCGCACGAAGTAGATTCTGGCACCGAGGTGTCGATACAGTACTTCCTCGACCGCTTCTACATGAGCCGGATATCTATAAGAATGCTTATCAATCAACACAGTAAGTAAATGTGTCTTTTTAACCCCGTAACCGACGTAATAAACAGGGGTGAAGGTGGTAAAGCTTTTATAAATAAATATAACATAATTATGACTTTTTTATTAGTGATTCAGCAGACCTCTGCTTTTGCTTCCGCAACTGCTGAAGTTCCGCACGCTTTTTCACTTCTGATTCCGTTTCTGCTTCTGCAACTTTTATTACGGAACTTTAATAGGAAGTTTACAACGTTCGCGATGGATGAGGTACGCAAGCTCGTTGCTTATCTGTTACGCACGTATTTTATTAACAGTTTTGTGTATGTTAAGAGCAATTATGAAACCAAAAACAAGCCCTGTTTGGAACTATTATTTCCTTGAGATATTTCTTGTATTTACCTACACTTCCGCTGCCGCATCCGCTTCCGTTTCCGCTAAGATTTACTTTTGACATTTGTTTCCGTTATGACACTTCTGTTTATTAATATTACTACTTTTTATTCAAAAAAACCGATGTAAAAAATTTGTTATTACGACGCCGTGTGTAATCAGCCTTAGAGTGGCAAATCCGCGTAGTCGGATTTCAGACTTTCAAACAAAAAAAAATATTTTCAAAATCGTTCCACATTTATTGACGGAGAAATCGATGAACATACATAAAAAATACATACAGTCGAACATTGAACCTCCTCCTTTTGTGAAGTCGGCTAAAAAAGGGTATTTCAGTCAACAAGTAAAAATGATATTTTGTAGCTTACAACAACGTACGTGAGAATTATCGATCTTACTCTGTGTGTATTATTTGAAGTTTAACTGCCGATTTCGCCTTCTGGTCATTAATAGTTTTAAAAGGGAAGTCAAAAGAACTTCAAGAGACAACTCTATCTATCTCTTTCTAGCCCTCCTATTCGGCGAGCAAGTGGGAGTGGGCAAGCAAGCATCAGTAAACGGCATGGGCAACGGCGGTCGCCACATCGGCTCCATCGATCCAGCGTGCGACGTCGTCGCCGTGGTACGCGACGCATATGAAAACGCAAGATTTCTATGCGACAGATACTATTTGGCTGCACCTGATCTGGAGATTTTGCAGAAAGGAGGTGAGTTGTTTGAGACCCAAGATTCCTCTTATCCTATCGATGGCATAGACTATACCACAGATTACTTACCTAATAGTCATCGTAACAGATAAAGATAAATTTATTTCAATATAACTTAACTACTACAATAGAAGTAAAACAAATGTAAATAAAGCTATTATAGTATTCAAACAAGAATTAAGAAGGGAATCTAAATTATACATTCTTCATAGTAAAGGTATAACATTTTAATATTAGCATCTAATGTGTAATTGCGATGCCTAAACTAAGTAAATGTATTTTAGGCATCTTTTTGGGCAAATTTCTTTATATTACAGCTTAAAAATAGATTTTCTATAATTATCAATAAAATAATTATTAGTTATAAATTGATGGTTACCTATATAAAAATAATTATGAAACAGCTTCCAGCAAGTCCCCTGTTTCATTGTAAGTTTTACTCTTAAGAGGGAGCATGCCAAAAAAGTTGTGACGTTGGCTCCGCCCAAATTTGTTAAACAAATATATGCCTGAAGTTCGCGTGACATGCGCAGGAGATGTTGAATTTTGCGCATTAAAAGTACGAAATTCGTTTTAGCGGAATAACTCTAAAACTAAAGGGATTTAAAAAAATCCGTAGTGACAGTTCTCGATCATGCATAAATATAATTAATTTTTAAATTTTTGCCCTAATAACTTGTAGCATTTCGAGGATGAATCGAAAAAATGTGAAAATTAGAGGTCATTTCGTCATTTTTATCTACCGAGGAAACTTTATTGTTTTATGTTTCTGATTAGTGTCTATGCTTGAATATATCGTGTAGTTACTCATACAATATTTTATTTTTAACTTTAAAGTGGATATACCCCTCTAAAATCAAATCGAAGATTAGGAATTTTTCCTCTGCTCCCTCTTAAGCCCCAATTTGACGATCTATTTACATTCTATTTTATTCATAGCGAAATAATGCAAATTAGAATTTAATTTAAAGGAATGTACCAAGGAATATACCTTGAATAGATACGTCACTCTCATACAAAATCGGCACCCTAAATACCTAATAATATAGTAACCCTAAACTCCTTGTGAAAGAGTTAGTCCAGGGAAGTACTGCCACCTTACCCATTTCTGCCGCCAAGCAGTAATGTCAGTATTACTCTGTTCTGGTTTTGAAGGGTAAGAGTGCTGGTGAAATTACAGGCATATGGGAGTTGTCAACTCATGTCTCAGGGTGACGGGCGCAGTGGCAGTGCCCCTCAGATCTTTGCGATTTAAAACTTTGAGTGGCACTGCAACTGTTATGGACAGGCGTATAGCTTACCATCAGGCGCACGACTAGATGTTCAAAAAAAAATAGATAACAAAATAAGAAAAATTATTAATAGGAATTATTACATGACTTGAATGTATATAAAATACTACACTTGTCAGGGATTATTACATAAATTGAATGTATATGAAATACTGCACTTCATTACCATCATATTAGTAGGAAGACGTCCACTGCTGAACATAGGCCTCTCCCAAAGATTTCCAGACCAGCCGATCATGAACAACATAAAGAAAGTGGCGCGGTTGAATTGGACACAGGTGGCACAGAACCGAAAGAAGTGGCAGAAACTGACAAAAGTCTACTCCGATGTGGTTGAGAACGGCTAGAAAGAAAAGAAGAAGGGTTATTTTTAACCGACTTCAAAAACAGGAGGAGGTTCTCAATTCTACTGTATGTTTTTATTTTATTTTGTATGTATGTTACGCGATAACTCAGGTATTTGTGCACCGATTTTCATGATTCCTTTTTTGTTGGAAATAGGGTAGGGTAGTAGTCCCATTTAATTTTGAGGAAAATCATCCACCTTTAAGGGTGGCTGTTCACGCATGAAGATTCATATTTATAAATAGCGCCTAAATTTTATTAAAAGGAGCAATTATTTTAATGGTTGATTTTGCTATTCTCTAATTCAAAGCGTTTTTCTCTCACTATACTCTGAGTAGTGAGAACCGATTTTTATTATCTCCTGTGTCAAGTCCCGTATAGTGGCGAACTGGGGGATGAATCCGGGTTTGCGCACTTTCCGCTAACCGATTTCAAAAAAATTTGGCAAATAGATGTAATTGCACGTACTTTTGAGTCTATTTTTTAGTATTCTGTACTGAGATTATATTTGAAAAAAGTCAGTTACCATCATAAAAAAAAGTTACTACGTAACAGGTACTTCAATCTCATACAAAATCGAAAATACCTACGCTATAATAGCCTACTACATCTCACTAATGACACCAGGCGGTCACTACGAGGAAAAAGGAACCTAAGCACGCGCTCGGAGAGGTGAATATAAGGTTGCCCGCCGTGTGCAGTAGTGCAGAACCAAATGCGTAAATTGCATAATGACAAATTGGACTCATTCGCAATACGTAATTATCTTCGTCTTTCGTTACCCATAGAAATGTATTCCTGAGAGTTGGTAAAAAAAATATATTTATTATTACAAAAAAAATACCTTCGATCCGGCCGGATTCGAACCGACGTCGTCTAGCATACCGTGCCAGACGCTATACGGATCGAAGGAATTTTTTCTGAGTGCTCGATCTTTGTATTAATAATTATAACAAACTAGTGGAGTAATTTCAC